ACAGAGGACTGAGCTAGTGAAAGGGAGCAGCTGAATGGAGGACCAACTGCTGCTTCTTCCCACTGCGTGCGGGCAGAGAGCTCAGAGCGGCGTGGCCTCACCACCCTGAAGCACCATCACCCATCTTCCTCTTGGCAGCACCTCAGTCTTTCCCACCACCTGAGCTCCCAGAGAAGACAGGGAGGGGCCAGCAGGTGGCATGGTGGTTGAGGGGCTGGACTCCCACATGTTCACTGCTGTTTGAGTCCTGGACCTGGTGGCTTGGAACTCACACTGGGTGCATGTGTATGTGACCAAAATCCTGAGAGGAGAATGGAGGAGGGATTGCAGCATGGTCATCCCCTCTGGTGGGGGTGATTTCTCACTTTCTGTCTGTTTCACATTCCCCACCCTCTGCAAGTACATCCACTCTATGGCAAAATCGCTTTCAAAAGAAAAAAAAAAAAAAGATGGTGGGGAACTGCTACAGAAAGGAACCAAGACGTGGTAAGAAAGAGCAGGGAATTCCATTTCCTGCACACTAACAGCAAGGAATTTCAAAGATTTTGAAGTACTACGTCTTTGGGTCTTCTTTGGATCTCTGTGGAGTTCAGCTAAAGATTGTATGAGAAAAAGGTGGGAAGAAAATGAAACAAAATGAGGCACGGGAGGCCCCAGGGAAAGCCCAGAGTGCAGACTGGTCTACACACTTGGCTTCGGGTCTTCTGTGAGAGGGCAGCCAGGGACTCTCCTGGGGAGGGGCTCTACAACCATGCTGTTCTCCCCAGAAAACACCACCCTAGCAAAATGACTCTCGGTGACCAGAAGGCCAAAAAAGCAGTATCTTAAAAGATGTTTTTCATAAAAGTTACCTGTGATGAATATGTTATTACTAGATGAGTTCAAATTTTTTACATTTTAGTTTTAATAAAAAAAAAAAAGACTTCACCACCTAGCACCATCTGACTGACTTCAGGTAAGCCTCAGTCTCCCTGGCTCTAGACCAGAGGGTGGGGACGGTGGGAAGTAAGGGACAACTCATACGAGGAAAATGACCTGCTAAAGGTAGGGGGTATCGCAATGAGCTAACAGGCCAGAGGGGACCACTCCGCTTCCTTCCCAGCAACAGGCATTATGTAAGAGCTGCTGCAGAGACTTCCAAACAAAGCTAAGCTGAAGCAGGACATGTAAAACACACGACCAGGTGACAGTGCTCAGACCACCTTTAATGTACTTAGAATAAATCACTTTACAAAAAGCATTAACACTTTGCAAAATGTAACTTTAGATACAGTACACAAATCTGAAGAAACCAGCACCATCCTACAGTCTGATCCGTCCTTCAAAATGAACTTTAAGAATGTCAGAGTAATTTATTAAGACTCTAGTCATAAAATGTGCCTAGTCATGTTTCTACAGATTTGAATGTTACACTGAGAACAGCTGCTCAAAAACGAGTTCCCTCTGTCAACCTCCACCGCATTTTCTACCTTCAAGTGACGCATGGGCTGATCTGTGGCCTCATCCCTTCAAAGTGTGCTGAGAAATAAACCAGCAGTAAGTACTGGGCGGAAACGTTTACTTCCACTTACGTGGGTAAACAACAGGTCAACTCTAAATATTCTGTTTGGAAAAAGAAACGTACCAGTAAGTCATCCAAGTGGTAGAAATTTCTAGAACAAGGCGAAAGTTGTACGGCAGCGGTTATGACTTTTAATGGTATTCTGTTACACTGAAAGACATGCTCTGGGTCAGCCTGTAGATAGTGGTTAAACACTGTGCATAGAAAGCTGAATCCCACATAGCTGACTACAGTTCATATCCTGGCTCCAGCAGCCGGAAAAACACACCAGGTGCATATGTATGTGTATCTGGGATCCTGACAGGATGGAAGAATGGAGGAGGAAGGATTGCAGTGTAACTACAAACCAAAGGGGGGGTGGGGGGGCTCTCTCTCATATGTGCCCTCTGGCAATTAAAAAAAGAGCTAGACCTACAACTCACCAGGTCATTTGAGAGATGAGGAAAGAGGGTCGCACAAGTTAAGCGAGATCCCCTATGGCAGGGCAGGAACCAGCATACTCATTTCCTAACGCCCAGGCTGCACCTCTCTCCGAACCCAGGCCTTCATCTTCCCTACTAAACCCCTCCTCCAACGAGCTCGCGTCCTAACCCAAAGTGCTCTGCAACGTGAGCCACCTGCTGCCACGTGAGGAGCAACGAGGGCCGCCGTGACTTCGGGATCAGGGCCTTCACACGCTGTGTGCAGGCCAACCACAGGCCAAGTTCTCTAATGTCTGCTCTGTGGAACCAACTTCCCAAACCTTCTGGCCACTCTGCCTTGGACAGGTACCTGCTCTGCATGTCTCTCAGGCCATGAGGGCCTGGGCATGAACACCCCACGTCGGGGCGTTCACAGGGTAACGCGAGCTACCGCTGCTTGGGACATGACAGGAGAGAGGCGTGGAGTCACACGGGAACACCAAACCTCTTTCAACTGTTCGGGTTAAAATATTCAAGTTAAGAGTAACGCCAAGATGAGAGACGAAAACCGGGTACAGTGATGGTTTAATTCACCTGCGTGAGTCAATCACATTTGCTAAGTGGGCGGAACCAGAGGGGAGGGAGCGAGATGAAGACTGAGGGCGGAAAATAACGGGAAGTAGGGTCGACTCAAAAGTTCGGATGGGCTGAAGTGCCTCGCTTTGTATTCCTGCAAAATAATTCACTCAGTGATCTGCCAACTGTCATGCTTAATAAGCCAGGTTGCCTCTGGTATCCTTAGAGGGAGCAGTGAAGGGCCCAACATTTTCAGTGTTTTTCAGTGGTAATTTCAAGCTCTGTGGCTCCAGCTCTTAGACAGTAGCACTAGAAAAAATACAAAAAGACAAGTGGGGCATCACACTCAGACACTGAAGGCCACATCTCAAAAGTCTTAGGCAACCAACAGTCTAAAAACCCAATCTGCCTTAAAAACACACACTGCACAGGGTAGCGGCTTTGGTCTCTTCGAATGACTGATGGAATTTTGCGATTCAAACTTAATGTTATCCATCCCGAGAGTCAGATTCTTACCACTAAAACAGGAAATAAGTGAAACATACACAGTGGTATTCCTTTGGGATGCTAACAGTAAAAGGGTATGTTAGCAAGAAAGGTTTGGGGAATAGTAACAAGTCCTGGCAGTTTTAATGAAAGATCAATATACCTCCTTCCCCCCAAAAAAACCACCCACCCCTGCAGAGTGACTAAATTTCATCTAAATCAATTTAGTCAAAAGGGTAATCTGAAGCAAGTCAAACCCAAGTACGTCACAGTTACACTGGACTGTCTGCTATAAAGAAAGGGTAAGGGGGAACCAGCAGTTAGCGTAATGGCTATGTCGCTGCACGCCCACGTAGTCGACCGTGGTTCGTGTCCCGGACCCGGTGGCTTAAAACTCACGCCGGGCGCGTGTGCGTGTGTGCCCAAGATCCCGAGAGGAGAATGGAGGAGAAAGGATTGCGGCGTGACCATCCCCCCTGGGGGGTGATTTCTCGCTTTCTGTCTCTATGTCTCTCTCTGTCTGTCTGGTGAGCGCACACGCCCTACAGTGAAAATCTCTAAAAAAAAAAAAAAGAAAGGGTAAGGGGACCAGCAGGTGACATAATGGTTACATCACTGGATTCCCACGTAGTCAATAGTGGTTTGAGTCCCAGACCTGGCAGCTTAAAACTCATGCTGGGTATGTGTGTGTGCATGCCTAAAATCTCGAGAGGAGAATGAAGGAGAAGAGGAGACTACAGCGTGGCCATCCTCCTAGCAGGTGATTTCTTGCTTTTTGTCTCTGTCTCTCTCTCTCTTTCCAGTGAGAGCACCTACCCGATAGCAAAAATCTCTCTTAAAAAAAAAAAGGGGGGGGTAGGAAAAGACTGCCACAAAAATCCTAACTATTGGTATTTAAGGAACCTTTTCGATTTCTGCTTTTTGCTTTAGGGAGGGCAACAGATCAGCTGGAATGAACCACCTGCTAAAGAGGAGGGAGGTTTAGACTATACCAATAGGGAAAAGATAACCTGAGGCTGAAAAAAAGGCTACTGCAGACGCCAGTTAACTGTGTTTCCTAGACAGAACTGAACTCCTAATCTGGCTTACAGGAAGGGATCTGATACACGTTAATGTCACCTGTGATAAGACCAAGGACCTGAATGATCCAGCTTCGGAGAACTGTCTTCAAATGAAGCAGCTGCTCTGCTACCCAGGGGTTCTAAAGGGCCTCTTATCTCTGTCTGGGTCCACAGAGCTCACGGACCGTTGGCCCCAGGTGCTCTAGTGCAACGACAACTAGTCACAAGGAGGAAAAGGCAAAGTGAAGTGGTGACACTGCAAATCCTCACAAACCCTCACAACTGTGTCAAGGAGCACTGACCCCGAGGCAGACACGAACCTCAGCGAGCATTCCAGTTCATTCCCTAAATGAGCTAAAAGTCAAAAACCAAAAAAAAAAAAAATAATAAATAAAAAAATAAAGTCAGAACTGGCCAACACAGAGAGACTAGGTAAATAAACTATCACAACTCTTGGAGAAAGAGGATGAGGGACCAGACACCAACAGAAAAGAGGAACTAGGCTAGGACAGCAGCAGCAGAGATGGCAACCAGGAAAACAGAGGTGGTGGAAGACAGAGAACCGCCATGGAGAGCCACCTGGCCACTGCACAGGAAGGAGGGGGCAGGGCCCCAAAGCCAAAAGGAGCTGAAGAACTCTGGCCAGAGACACAGGAAGGCCAGTCTACTCAGAGGGGAGAATGAACTTAAAAATACCAGACCCCAAACAGCACGACTCTCAGAAAATCATTAATATTTTTCCAAAGTGGAACAGTAAACAATGGAGTACCTCAAATTAAGGCTGATGAAAGGCACATAAAAAGTGTCACATAGGGACACATTTTAGAAGCTCCTGGATCTTATCACCCCCAATTTCTGTACCCTCAATTAACAAGGCATTCATGAAACACAAAGTGAGTATTTGAGGACAGTTACCTCGGGATCTACTGTGTCTTGTCCTTCTTTTGAAGTTTTTCCACTTTTCCCTGCTTTTGGTAATTCCTGGGAAGCAATCAAACAAATCAATTAGTCTCAATTTTAGACTGCAAAGCATCAAACCACAATTTTAAAACGGGCTTATCCATTTAAACTAGAGCATCTGATAGTTTCAATCCTATCCAAACCAAATTCTACATCACACTGTTTAGAGATAAAACAGTGGGAGGATACCCCCATACCACTGCCACCAAAATTAAAATTCTCTGGGTCTTATCTACATTAGGGGTTGGAAACTTTAAGCACAACAGGCAAACCCAGTTGTACACAGTGCTCTCAGCATTTAAAGAGCCGCATCACATCCTTTCTCCCCTCCCATCCTAAACCGTGGAGTGGGGCTTTCTGGGGTGACACTGAAACGCTCCAGAGCTCCACCTGAACAGGAACGCGCCGCCCCCCAGGCCAACGCAGCGCACTCGCTCAGGCATCGCGGCCGCCGCCACCAGGATAATAATAGTATTTCGGAGCCCGGAGCTTCCCTCTGGAGCAGCAGCGGTTCTCTGCAGGCACCGAGCGGGGTCCTTCCCTAGGAGCCCACGCACCGGTCCCGGAGCCCCCTCCCAGGCGCCTGCGATGCAGGATCCCCACCTCCGCCGCCACCTGCCCCCTCACGCCCCGCGCGCGATCCGGGGGCGGGA